TTTTTTTTTTCTTAAAAAAAATGAATGCATATTGTGTACCAAAAAATGAGTCTATATTGCTGGACTTTAAATATGCACAGAAGATAAGAAAAAAGACAAATTACAACCGCAACTTACTCACAGATAACAAGTACTAGGCGAATTACAATTACAAATACCCTAAGAAGAAACAGACCTTTAAAATGCATAAAACGTACGATAAATAATCAGAGACTTACAGAAAAACCAAAGTGTTCACATAAAAACAATTTTAAGTTTAGAAAAGTTAAAAAGCTTCAAAATTAAACAGATAAGTTTCCAAATTATTTAAAACTGTCCCCTTCAATCACTCACGTCACTCTATAAACTTGATCTTTGCTATGTACTTTTTGCAGACATCGGTTACCGTCCATTTTCAAATAAGTAGATTAGAAAGACTCAGGGATAACCTAAAAAAAACTATTCAATAGCACAAAATTTATTCAAACTGCATATGTGACTAACAAATTATTGAAATGCACTGCTTTAACAATTAAAAAATATTACGCAAAGCAAGAAATCAAAACCACTTCCCTGAACAACACAAAAACTGCAGCAAAATTTTTGAACTTATTCAAAATTTTTTTAATGTCTCAAAAAACCTGCAGCATACCTTTTACAGTGATGACTTTAAGCCCTAAAATAAGAGGTGCGTCTAGACAAAAAATTTATAAACTCCACTCTGGTGGTGACAAACGAGGTGAATTAATAATGATAGGTTTTTTAAAAGTAGGATGAATCATAAAAGCTGATGAAACTACACATTTACTTTAGCCCATGCTTTAATTTCACGATATATTTTCGGGAGGGGTATAAAAGAAATATTAACAACGAAGTCAAGTAAAAGCAGAAGAATGAAGTTATTCATTACTTTCAATAAAAAAATTTTTACAGAAAAAGGATATTTTACCAATTCTCTTCGTCAAAAATCCTCTCCTCAAGCTACAGCGAGTTTTTGACATTCTGGAGCTTCCTACTGGTATTGTAAGCATTGAAATTACACACCTTTTCCGCGGCGTCGCCTTCATTTTTGCCATTACAGAACTCCTCCTCTAAAGCTACTATTTGCTAAGACCCTCTTACAGCAAGGTGTTTTAACCAGCTTGAAAGAACTTCACGTCACTACTTTAAAAAATGACTTGCTAAAACAATGAGCTGATTCAAAAGACTTTTTAAAAAACTTGAAACTTACTTCAACTTTTCCAAAATGAAATTTAGAACGCAATATAAATCACCTTTTTTTCACGTCTTGTCCCCTTCCGCTCCTTATACTCTTTCATAATCCACTGTACATACTCAGGAGGTTCAAAACCATCTAATAAAATTGGCTCACCGGGATGATCTTTATTATACAAATTATTTTCCTTCTTCAAATCATTGAAAATAAGCACAAGTTGATTCTTAATATGCTTTCGTCTCTAGAATAAAATACGATTCAGGTGTCTCATTTAAACAAACAGAACCAATCGAGCGCAAATAAAAGGCCAAATGAAACACAGCTGTACTTACTCCCTTTAAAATTCTACAGATTCAAACATTAAAAAGCAAACATTCAAATAATGAATAGTACATTTTTATTGGGAAAAAGTTAATGTACCGAGTAGCAACAAAAGCGATTTTTTTTACTGAAGGTTGGGGTCCTAACGCACTTCTTCCCCTTTAAGTGGTGAAGCAGTCATAAATGAAGATATAACTTATAAATCACGCAAAATTAAATAATTATCCTGAGAGAAAAGCTTTAGAATTTTGCAAAAAAAAGTTGCCTGCAGTAACGTTTTTAGCTTTCCGCCTCTGTTTTGGTAAAACGATTTGTCATTTGCGTCACTGTCACACGCAACTTTCTCTGCCCATAGTTCTTCCCATTCCAATAATTTATTGTTTACAGCTTTCCTTTCTTCATAAAATCGTGTAAATTTCTCAATTTCAGCTTTAACACTTTGTAAGTCAACAGGAGTATGCAACTCTAAAATTTCAAATGATCAACGAAGAGTGTTTGGAACTTCAAAACTTTAAAGTCCATTTCCCAGTAATTTTGACTAAGCGAGAAGAAAGATGGAACAGCAAAGACAAAATGGAGACCGAAGAGCTGTTATACTACTACTATAATAAATAGTAAGGTAAAAACATTCAAAATATCCTCTTACTGGGATCAAATACAGGCAGAAATTGGCGGTCACCATCAGGAATATGACACATATCCCACAACTCACCAAGTTTAATAACAGCCTCATTATAATCAAAGTAGGCTTGTTCTAGCCACTCGTCGTAGAT